TTTTTCTTTTTGATTATTTAATTAGAGTTTATTTGAGCCAAAACTGATGACAATTGCTGGAAAGTAAGATCTCAAATGCTCCTCCTCAGTCACATTTCACTAGCCACATTTCAAGTGCTCAGCAACACAACACAAATATAGAGCATTTCTATCATCACAAAAGTTCTATTTGAACATCACTGGCTTAGAATATTCTTGACCCATAACTCTTTACATTGCTGGTTCTTTCTTATCTTCAGGTTTTATTTCATGTTATTTCCTCACAGGAGCTTTCTCTGACCACTCTCCAACCTAATATAGTAATCCTCATTGCTTTCTCATCACCCTATTTCCTTCTTTCATAGCACTTAAACAAGATAATTAGAGCCTGTGAAGTTTACTTACTTGCTTATTAGCTGTGTTCTGTGTTATACTGTAACACAGAGAAGGGATCTTTCACACTTACATCCTCACCTCCAAATAAATGCCTGCCACATAGGAGGCATTTCATAGATAATTGCTGACTGAATCATTATTTTATGAATACTTAGCACAAAGCCTGGCAGAAAATGAGGAAATAATAAAAGGTGAACAGAGCCCAAATCAGCTCAATCCACTACTTTGTGGATAAAGAAAGCCACGTTTAGAGTGTTAAGGACCTTATCTATAGTCCCACCCATGCTTAGTGGTTTCACTGTTACTGCTTCTCAAACTCTAATGTATACATGAATCACCTAGGGATTTTGTTAAAATGCTGGTTCTGATTCAGTCTGGGCCAGAGCCTATAACTTTGTATTTTTAACAAATAATCCAGTGATGCTATACTGCTGGTAAGCAGACCACGCTTTGAGCAGCAAAGCACTATGTCACACTCAATTACCTGTCAAGCCAGGGAATTTATCATAACTGAAGAGGTTTTGCCCCTCATTATGCTTTCAGCCAGTACCAACTCTTGGCAAAATGAATTTCATAATATTGCTATCCTTTGGGTAAACTCCTCAAAGTACAGTCGATTCTTGTTATTCATGGTGGTTCTATAAAGTAGCCATGAACACTGAATTAGCAAATACTTATTTTGTTCCTAGGGGAAATACAGGGTTAGGTTCCTATGAGCCTCGGGTCATATTTTTATCAAAAGATCAATATATAACCTTGTTTTATGTGTTTCTGTTTAAAGACACCTATGTAATAAATAGTGTTGATTCATTATCAATAAATTCATAGCCAACAGCACTATTAACTCATACCTGAATGAAGCTTATTTAACCCATGTATTCTCTCCACAAGGCAGTGGTCCCCAACCTTTTTGGCACCAGGGATCTGTGCTCCTATGAGAATCTAATGCCTAATGATCTGAGGTGGAGCTGAGGCAGTGATGCCAGTGCTGGGGAGTGGCTGCGAATACAGATGAAGCTTCATTTGCTCCACCATCACTCACCTCTTGCTGTGCAGCCTGGTTCCTAACAGGCTACAGACTGGTACCAGGGTTTGGGGACCCCTGCCATAAAGCATGTCACACCATTCTTGTACTTAGGAATACTAGACACCACTTCAGCACCATGCTTAGGAACTATTTTAAACAAAGAAATCACCAACAAAGAACACAAAAATTTGAAAAATGTGTCACTAAATATACTATGAAAACGACAGTTTACAGTATGAGTTGAAAGGTAGAACATCTTGTTCAACCTCAATTGAAACTGTGCAAGACAATTCAGATTTTCGTCTCTCTATGCATGTCTGCAAATGACCATAAAAGTGCTATAAGTACTGATTTTGGGGTTACCAATACATTTTAGTGAGTAGGCACTTTCTCAATGTGGATTCCTCAAATAATGAAGACTGACTGTATTTCCTTGCAATATCAAAGGCTACCTGTATCTCACTTTGCAGGATTCAAAGCCCAACTCCATGTTTTCTTTCCTCACACCCTTCTTTGATCACCAGGGTTGCCCTGTGCAAATGAGAAAAAGGCACCCCTTTCTCTGGGTGGATGCAAACCTATTGGCCTATACCAGAATGCACAGCTTGGTGAGTGGAGCATTGGCTGAATCTCAGCTCTGGTTATCCTTCATCCAGGTGCCCTTGCACAGGGCACAACCTGCCCCATACGTACGATCAGCCCTACTGATCATATACCTTCTGGCCTTTTCTTTGTTTTTCTGCTGAAATGTTTAAATTTTTTAAATCTTCCATGTATGGAAGTGGTGGGTCAGAAATGGAGAGCCAAATAAGAGTTAGAATATATGAGAAAGAGTGGTGGCCTGAGATAAGAGTATCTGAGAGGAATGAAGCAGAGGCAAAGTCTAGCCTGGCCATGTGCCCAGCATGGTGGCTCTGACCTGAAGTTGATAGGCCAGGTCAGCCTGTGCCCGGCGGGTGTTGACCTCGATGTCATAAGCAGCCTTCTTCAGCTCGTAGTCTCTCTGAGCCTTGGCCATCTCAATCTCACTCAGGTACTGAGCAGACACCTTCTCTTGCTTGGCTTTGGCCTCCTGTCCATACAGATATCAGGTAGAGAGTCAGAGCAAGGAGAGGAAGGCCCCAGGCAGAAGAGGCTGCTCTCCATCAGGCTCCCCTGCCTTCGCCCTGGCCTTGTCTATTCCTGTTGCCAGCCCAGTTCCACCAGCTCCCAGTCAGCTGTGCCCCTTCCAGTCCCTCTCCCATGGAGTGCCCAATAAGCTCACGGTGATCAAGTGACCCCCATCTCTCTTACCCGGATCCCAGCATCTCTCTTGGCCTCTGCTTCTCCAATCCGAGCATCTTTTTGGACTTGAGCGGTTCGAGCCTTCCCCAAGGAGTGCAAATAGTCCTGTGGGAAAGATGCAGAAATCAGAGTCCTTGGGAGGTTTTAAGAAAGGAGAGCAGAGAAACAGATCAACTGTCTAGATTTACCTGATCATCATGAATGTCCTTCAGGGTATAGCTGACCACACTGATGCCCATGTTGACCAGGTCTGAGGAGGCCACTTTGAAAACTTGCTCGGAGAATTTCTGCCTGTCTTTGTAGATTTCCTAGGATAATAGGATGGAGGGAAGGAAGAACTTAAGCTCTCAGACCCTCTGGCCACTGTCTCCTATGGACTAGCTCAGTCCTTAGGCCCCCCCCTCAGTCTGGCACCCCTTCTGGATCTTTCCCTGCCATCAGGCCCACCTCCACAGTCATGTGGGCCATGATAGCCCTCTGGTGGCCCTCCAGCGTCTCCAGTGCAATGTGGGCAATCTCAGCCTCTGTCTTCCCTAGGAACATTTGGCAGGCAGCCGCCAACATCTCCTTGTTCTGCCCCTGGATTTTCACCTGTAGCCAGAGGAAGGGTAGGAAGGGTGTGGTGGAGGTCTCATGAAGCCAGGGAGGAAGCAGGGGGAGAAGGGGAGAGTCAAGTGCCTTGGAGAAGGTGAGACTGGCAGAGAAAATCCTTAAAGTTTGGGGTCAAAGAACGTGATGGGGGAGTGGACTATGGAGGAAAGGCTCTGAAAGCCTCACCTGGGCAATGCCAGTTACTGAGATGGGGACCCCATGGCGAGTGTAAACCTTTTCACTTTTGACATTGAGGGTCAATGTGTTGAGAGAGATCCTAGAGGGAAAAAGAAGAGTGGCCAGTGAGAAAAGGAGGAAAGAGAGAAAAATGGGGTTCCCCTTCCCTGGATGTCTTCCTACCCACCTCTGGATCTGCTGGATGCAGGGTAGGACAAAGACTCGCCCTCCGGCCACCATGACTGGGGGGCTCCGGCAGAAACCTGCAAGGTGAGGGGCCAGTGAGCTGCGGTGGCGGTGGTAGAGCTGGAACAATGAAAAGCTGAAAAAGTGAGGGAGGGAGGTGGGATAATTCCCACGAGGAAATCTGGGAGCTGGAGGGGAGGCAGTCTGGGCCTGGTAAGGGTAGCGGCTGGAAATCACAAGCTTGCAGCGATAGGCGGTAGCGGCGTGGGGGTGGGGATGGGGGTGGCGGTGCTGAAGGCTTGCCGCGACAGGAGCTGGAAGGGAGAGGGGGAAGAGGCAGGGGCCAGGCTCACAGGGGACTAGGAGTCACTGGCTGAGAAGAGAACAATACTTACCGGAGACCACCATGGCCTCATTTGGACCACAGGTGAAAAACATGGCCCAAGTGGGAGCTGGAGGAGAGGAAAGAAAACCTTTGCGGAGGGAGAAGGGGCGCTATGGAGTCCACAGGAGTGATTCCCTTTCCTATCAGTCCCGCCCAGCCTGCAGCCACCACCGCCCAGTTCCCTTCCGCACCCAGGGGTCCGCTAAGGCTTTCCCTGTGAAATCCTGTAGACCCCCCTGCGACCCCTTCCCGCCTGTTCATGACTATCAGCCAGCCCCTTGCCGCGTCCAGGTGTGCAGTGAGGACGGTTCTCCCTGATCTGATAAAGCTCTCTCACGCCCAGAGGCCTCCAGACCTCGCACCACCCACTCTACTCCTCTGCAGCCTGACTTCATCTCCCCGCCCCCACCTACCTTCCAGGACTCGAGCAGCTGCCGGGGACCTAGGAGCCAAACCAGAGCCACTCGCAAACAACCTTCCTGGAAGTGGACTCGCGCTCACGCTCGCGCGCGCCCCCCAGCCATCTACCTACCTGCACCCTGAGACTGCGGCAATGCGACCCCGCTCGCCCGCGGCGGCCCAACCCGCGGCCGGGTGCTCGGCCCGCCCCTTTCCCGTCAGGCCCCGCTCGGAGCTCAGCCCGCGGGCGGATGTGGGCCCAGCTTCTCCACAGCGCCAGCCGCTGGAGCCGCTCTAGGCTCCACGGTTGGCGCGTTACGTGACCTCTGTAAGCCAGAGTTCTCGGGCGGGGGACATTGCCTCATCTCGGATATGCCCCGCGGCAACCAGCTGGGAAAACCGCAGACTAGGCAACAAACGTCTGCGTCCGGCCACCGGATACTGGGTTCTGTGATACGGGAAGAGGCGCTTGAGGCCCAAGAGGAGGTCCTGCTGGGGTAGTGGCCACCGGGTCCCCGGAGCCCGAAGCCAGGAAGAACGGGAGGAGTCGCCGCTGGCAAAGATACACTCAGAAACTGCCGACAGTAAATCGAGTTTATTTGTGTTCACAGAACATACCGGACGACCCCAAAGCCGCCCTCAGCAGGCCCCACCCCGCACTTCATAGCCACTCTTTTGGGGCAACTTAGAGGAAATCCAAAGCCAAGGGACCTTATTCCCAACAGTCCGTCGAAGCCTCACACATTAGACTCAGGGGGTTGAGATGCTGGAGGACGGAGTGTCACCCTGTAAACCAATAACCCACCACCGTCCTTGACCCACAGCCGGGGGGGCGCCCCCACCACCTTCCTCCGTCCTAGGCGCCTCCACCAATCCCACCAAGCTCAATAAATACCAAGAGACCTGCATTTGCAGCAAGGGGCACGTTCGCACCCACGCATAAGTTAAAATAAATATTATATAACCCCTCTACCACTTAGGGGACATAAATACATTAAATATCAATTAGGAGCAATGAGACATAAATTAACGCCGCCCTTCTTCCCCACCCGGCCTGGCCGGGACGTGTCCGCACGTGTCCTATCCCGGCGCAGGCTGGCAGCTCCCCTGTAGTGTTGAGTGCGAGTTGCCTCGGCAGTCCCAGTTTGGGATACGTTCTCGCGCACCAGATAACACCTGGTGTTTCTTTGGTTTTTCAGTCTCGTTGGGAGCGTGTGGGGAGTCACGGTTAGAAGGCAGCCGGGTGTTGCTGGAGAAAAGTGCTGAGGTCCAGAGCGTAATCCGAGGGCTCCACGGTCAGATTATGGGGTTCGAGGGTCGGAGGCGCAGGGGTGGGGCTCGGGGACGCAGTGCTCCGGGCGTCCTCCGGGGTCAGAGGCGCCGGCACACCGTCTTCAGCCATCAGGATCTGGCAGAAGACGATGGTGAGCAGAAGAAAGAGAAGTCTTTTGGCAGGGTTCGGATCTTCAGCTGGCGGCTGGCGCCGGACCTGAGGGAGGACGACAAAGGGAACAGGTCAGCTCGGGGTCCCGAAGTCCGGCCGTTCCTTCCGACCCCGGACTGCCCACTCAAGACACTCACCACTCGTGGGTAGAGGACCCTACGGCTGCGCTTTCTGTGGCCGCGGTAGGCACTGGGGCGCGCGGTCGAGGCCACCGCGGGCTCCGGGAGAGGGTCGAAGGTGAAGATCTCAGGACCAGAGCTTCGCCGGGGGCCTGGGCTGGTGGAGGGTACCGGGGTAGCGGCCCGCAGGACGGTCATGGTGGGGAGGGAGCTGCGAGAGTGACACATTGTACCCCGAGCGGAGAGGAAAGACGACTGCGGACTCGCAGCCCTGCTGAGCTAGTTAAGTAAGACCGAGAATTGGGCGGGCCCTTCTCAACTCCACCCCTGCTGCAAGCGGTAGGCCGGAACCGGCTGGAAATTCCGACGGTTAAGCAAAGGGAGGGGGATGGAGACAGTTATTTGACTGTGTAATCCTAGGTGCCCAAGTGTGTGTTGTGAGTGTGTGAGTTGTGAGTGGGGGTGGGTGAGGTCCCGGGCTGCAGGCACATGTCGGGACATGTGGCAGCTGGAGTGGGGCCCACAGACAGTCAAGGAGATGGTTCACAGACCCCATCTCTGGGGGTTTACTTAAGCAGAGTTTACTTAAGGAAGTTGGGCAATCCTGCTACAATAGGGACCCAGCAAAGTCAAGGAATCACAGTTACACAGGTACATTCACACGCTTGTAGATGTGCATAGAAAACACACACCCCAAGAGGGAAGTCATTATAGAAATAGCCAAGCAGAGGAAGAAAAATGAACACACCCAGCCCCAACCCTGCCTGCTTTAGAACACAGAAAAACGCACGCACAAACATTCACACACAAACTGTATAGTAGGGGTGGAAAATTTTCCCTTCTTCTCTTCTAGGTTTTTAAACTAGTCTTGTAATTAAATTGACATAGGATAGTAACAGGAGAAAAAAATAATTAATTACATACTTACGGGGCTCATGAAGACCTGAGACTCAAAGACTCAAAGATAGTCAGGCAATTGAGGCTTATATGCCATCCTAAGGAATAGGAGCTAAGGAATGGGATAGGGGTCTGAGGTTCACAGGGGAAGAGGGCAATTCACAGGAAGATAAGAAGAGCAGGTGTTTGGCAATCAGATGTTGGCCCTGCCAACCAGGCAAGTCTTTCAGATAAAAAAAAAAAAATCTCGCTGATAATATCTCTCTGGTACAGGCCCCCTAATAAATTACTTTAGGCAGTTAAGGTGGGGGGATGGGGTTGCCGAAAGCTCTTCCTGAGTCTGCTGGGTCTTGATAGCCTTCAGCTCAAAGAAATTCACAGGCCAAAGTAGCATATTTTGAGGTGGCATATTCTGCCCCCTTTCAACATGCACATCACTCAGGGGGCGGGGGGCGGTGGAGAGGGCAAAGTGTGGAGACTGCATAGGGACAACCCAGCAAAGTTACCCACTTGGATGTTCATACAAAGCTGGGGCAGAGGACCACAAGATACAAAGGCAGAAGGTTAGCATTCACCCAGATTTGCCCCTTGTTGTATGAATCAAATAACAAAATTTATGTGAAGAACATTTTAAACTGTGAGGTATTATGCAAATATTGTGGTAATGGTAATAACTCAACTTAGGACAGAATTGACACATTTTCATAACTGCCATAAAGACAGCTCTCATGGAGACAGAATAGAACATCTTTAGGGCATTCGCAGGCACCCTGTTAAAGATACTGTTAAGAGTACTGAGGTTGGTTTCAGTGCTACTGAGTGAGTCAAGCCAGATACAGCCAGCACCTCAGGTGTGGGTTGGACCAGGAGAAATCCTTGAAGGTCCTAAGAAAATGGAAGACAGTGTAAGGGGGACCCAAAAAAGCTAGTATTCACTAATCAATCAAGTGAGGCTTCATGGAAGAGTGGCATGTAAGATGACCATGAATAGTGGTCGGGATACCAGAGAGTCAGACGTGGAAGATGACTGTGAGAAAGAGAATGGAATCAGCGAAGACCTTGGAATGGAAAAGTACAAGATGTGTTTGAGGAATCACAAAGAAAACAATCCCAGAATAAGTTCCCAGTAAAGGAGTGGTGAGAAATCTTAAGTTCTGGGAAGGAGTTGAGCAGAGTGGGGAGAGCTTAGCTGCCAGGATAGGAATCAGTGTGACTAGACTGTGGAGCTTGTGGGGCATAGGATGGTATAACAGGAGGACAATTCGAGCTGGGAACTGGGTGGGATAAGGAGCATACTCTTGATGGAGAGGCACTGAGGCAGGGGCGGGGGCTCTTAAAGAGATGCAGGGAGGTGACAAGGGCCTGAACTGGGTTATAGCAGAGGGACCAAGAAGAGGAGGTGGTGCTAAGAGACATTCCTAGCATGAAATCACTAGAATTTAACAATAGAATGGGTATCATTAGAGTCAGGGAACATGGAGAGGCGGGGTGCTGACAACAGAGAATGAAGGAAGCAAAGCTGACTCTAGAGATCTGAAATGTGTTGGGCTCAGATCTTTACACCAGATCACATTATGCCTGGCACACACTGTGAGCTCACGTATGACCCCTTGCATTAGAGACTGTGCCACATGTGTTTTGTGGCCGCCATAAACCTAGCATGGTGCCTTGTATATAGTAGTTGCTCAATAATCTTGATAAATGAAAGATGGAGGGAAAAAAGAAAGATGAAAATGCAGAACTATAAATGCACGTACTGGCTAGGTCACCCCAAGCTTTTGAGACATGCATACATTCCTTCAAACCCCACATATAAGTTTATAACATCTTAAGAAAAGCTAGGACAATTCTTACACTGACACCAAACAAGGAACACTTAAGGGCGTTTCTCAACCAAGATTGTATGGGGATGCAAACAAGGGGATGGCTCCACAATTGGGCTAGAAATCGATGTCATTGCCATATGTATAATTTCTTCCTGGGTCTATATGTCACTTTATTTTACACCCACTACTCCTGTCTAGGCCATGGGACCCCTGCAGCATTACACACTTCTTCTTACCGACAGGCATAAAACACACCTCCTCTATGAAGACACATCCCTTTCCCACACCTGCCTTTCATACCCGCCATCATTCTTACATCTACACCCAAGCACAGTGAGCCTGCACACCTACCTACACCCATATTCCAAGGCAACCTGCATACTACACAGCAACCAACATAAATACATGATTACTTACATGCGTGGAGCAGCTCACACTCTCAGACACAAATTGGGGACGAGGGGGAGTAATGGTGATGGAAGAAAACTGCTTTGTGGGAGAGGCGGGAGGCACACCAGATCAGGAATGCATAGTTGTTTATGATGGAAAATTTCTACAGGCCATTAGGCAGGGGAGGGGAAATGAAAGGAGGATGTCAGGATCTTGTCTCACCACTATCTCCCACATCTGGAATCAAGGCCTCCAGCTGGGCCTAGTTATCCTCATTGTCCTTGTGGCAAGACCAGAATGAGACAAAGAGAAGAAACAGAGAAATCAGAGACCTCACCGTTTCTCCTTAAACAACTCCATCCCCATTCCTACTACCCTGAGGGACCCAGGGCTCTGCTCCACCTCACCCCACCCTCTCCAAACAGGAAGCTAGGGAAAGGTTAAGAATGAATCATTAAGCCAATGAGGGGGTGTGGAGGTGAGGGCTGAAGGATGAGTTAAGGCCAGAAAGGGCCAGGGGCTGAGACCAGCAGCTGGACTAGTTCTCACAGCCCTAATCCTAGGAAAACAGGATTAGAGGCCCATTTATTTCCAGCTCTCCTCATTTCCTTGCCATCTTCCCAAGATTCCTTCATTCCCCTCCTTTGACCTGTTACTGTGACCTTCCATTAATCTCTTTCTTAGCCCCTGTTTGTTTTTTTCATAACACTCATCACAATGGAATAATTTTATGTATTTGTTTACTTTTTGTCATTATGCGTTTCCCTCATTGGGATATAATCTCCATGAGTATACAGAACCACATCAGCCCTTTTCCTCATGATACCTCTATGGTATCTCTAGTGTTAGGCCTTTCACCTAGTAGGGGCTTAATAAATATTTTTCAATGCATCTCCTCCAAGAAGCTATACCTTACCCCCAGAAGTGTCTGTTCATAGGTGTCCCTTTAGAGGCCTTCAGACTCCCTCTTCAAAGAGAAAGTTGGGGAATACTCATCTGAGGCTCAGGGTGATATACCATGAATCAGGAATAACTGTGCAGGCCATGAATGTAAAGCTCTGGCCCTTACCCCCTATAAGTTTCTGTCGTAAGAGTGAGTCATGCCTGCACCCCACTTGGAGTACTGCTGCATTTCTGAGCAAGGCTAGAATGGGGGACAAAGGTAATAGGAAGGAGGCAGGTAGGGGAGAGGGAGACAGATATTTGGAAGTGGGAGCTTCTGAGAAAGAGAAGCGGGGATAGAGGGATGGAGCAAGGTCCGGGGTCAGGGAATGAAAACTGAAAGCTTTTAGCTGCACCTGGTCTTTCATAGATGCTCAGGAACTATTCCTTGACTTGAGATGGGTGTGAGATAGAAAAGATACATGCGGTAGCAAGAGCATATTATCATCTAGTAGTGTTAGAGGAAAATAGGTTTAAATTCCAGTTCTGTTACTTATCAACTATGTGATATTGGGTCAGCTTACTTAACTTCTCTGAAAATGTTTCCTCAATTGAAAAGTGGGCAAATTGGCTTTAAGGTTATTGTGAGAATTAAAAATATGAATATATTGCTCCTAGGCACACAGCGAGTGCTTCATCTGTGGTGGGCATTATGATCATGGGAAGAGGGGCTGCTTTGGGGCAGATATGGGCAGCAGTGAGCAAACCCAGAAATAGGAGGCTGGGACGAGAAATTAGCCTCCAAAGTGCTAAAATCATGAGGAAAAAATTATTTATCTTTCTCTTTCTGTCCCCCCTTCTCTCCTCCATCTCAGGCTGGGTTTGCAGCTTTTTCTTTTTTCCAAAGAAGCAGAGACTTCCGCATTCTTAGTTCTTGTTTAGCCAACGTTAGTGCTTTTAAACATCCTTCCGCAGGCCTCTCCGCATACATACACTTGCTAGTGGGGACTATTCTTGCCAGAGGCATAGTGGTAGGGTGGGTGGTGAATTCTTGACAGCAAGTTAATAAGTCACCTCTAAGGACTTTCATTCTGGTCTTAGGAGGGCCAAGGTCAGGCCATGGCAGTTTTCCCTGACGTAAAAGGATGGCAAAGGGTGCCTGAAGTACCAAGGCAAGGTCACAAAAGAGTAAGGTGTCCCTGACCTGGGATGCAGCTCAGCACAACTCAGCCAAAATTTCCTGGGGGCTGTTTAGAGTGGGTAGCTGGGAAAAGATC